TTTTCAGAGGACAGAGCTAGGTGATCAGATACCGAGAAGCACCTTCTCCAAAAAAACAAAACAAAAGAAACTCACCACTGAAGGATGTTTGAGAAAGCCTGTCATGTTCACCTTTATTGAACAGTTATTCTTTATTCAGACTTTGTAAGAGTATAACAGAGTTTTTCATACTTTTATTAGGACTCCTGATGTGGTGCTGTAGAATCGCTACTGGACTGTGAACCGCAAGGTCAGCAGTTCAAACTCACTAGCTGCTCCTTGGAAACCCTATACAGGGTCTCTATGACTCAGAAGCACCGGGGGCGCTTAACAATAAATTTCTCAGGTGCCAACCACACGGTGTGGTGCTATGGGTTAATGTGCCAGACTGCAAAGCCGTTTGAACTGCAAGGTCGGTGGTTCAAGCTCATCAGTTGCTCGGCGGAAACCCTATATAGGGTCGCTATGAGTGGCAACTGACTCGATGGCACTTTTCTCAGGTGCCAACCACAAAGTAGGAAGTTCAAAACCATCAGTCGCTCCACGGGAGAAAAAAAAAAATGAGACTTTCTGCTCTTGCAAAAATTGACAACATCAAAAACCCTATACAGGGTCGCTATGAGTAAGAACTGACTCAAGGGCACCTAACAATTACACTTTCCTCAGTGGAATCTCAAAAATCCATCTTCACTATCAAAACACCTGGTTATTATACACCAGCCCAATTAACAATCATAATAAGCAAATAAAAGATCCCTCACTTTTCACTGCGCCTCCCCCGCCCCCACCCTCGCCCCTCGGTCCCTAAATCCAGAAAGTCTGTGTGAATCTGGCTTGAAATGATGATTTAAAGATGATGTGTTTCTAGAAGCTGTGTGGGTTACGGTCTGTTTTGCTGTTTGGGGCTTTTGTGGGAAGTTTTTAAGCGTGTAGACTTAATTATTTCACGTTTCCCATAAACACCATCGTTTCTCTGTTCGTTGCCAATAAGTGGTTTTTTCGCCGCGCTTATGAGGTTGAATAGTCGCCTCTGAGCCACTTTTTCCTTCAGTAATTCGTCTTTCTCCGCCCCTCTGCAGTCAGCGGCGTGAAGTAATCTTACAGAAGTGGCTGGAAACTCGTTTGAAGGCGCCTCCCACCAGACTCCCGCCCTCAGTTGGCACCCAGATGCGGTGCTCTGGGCGGCCAGTAGAGGGCACACGTACTTTACTTTCGCAAACCCAAGAGGGGGCAGCCATGGGTGGGGCGGTGAGAGAGGCGGGAGGAAAACCAAACTTAGGGATTGGTCGCTTCCCGCGTTTTCAGCAAAAGGCCTGTGATTCTTATAGCTGAATAAGGCCAGATGTCTGATTTGGGAGAAGTTATAGTGTAATGGTTACAAATCGGGCTGCTAATCTCAAGGTTAGCAGTTCGAAACCACGAGCTGTTCTGCGGCAGAAAGACACATCTTTCTGCTCCCGTAAAGATTTACAGCCTCGGAAACCCTGTGCAGGGTCACTATGAATCAGAACTTACTCCATGGCACATAACCACAACTACTACTCATTTAGCCACTGAGAGCTGAGCTGCAGACTCAATTGGTAACAACTTATCCATAACTTAAACACTCATAAGCTTTACAGCCCTCCGCCCTCTTTTGCTTTTTGGTGGGGGTGGGGTGAGTTGAAAAAGTTTACTTAAAACGCCTTTGAGTAAGGGACCAGGATTGGGAAGATTGATTGTCTTTGTTTTTGATAATAGAGTTAAGTGCCGTTAAGTCGGTTCCGACCCATAGCGGCCTTGTATAGGGTTTCCAAGGAGCAGCTGGTGAGCTTGAACCACCGACCTTAAAGTTCAAATGCCTTTGCAGTTGGTCATATTAACCCACAGCACAGCGTCACACTAGGACTCTCTCTCTCTCTCTCTCTCTCTCTCTCTCTCTCTCTCTCTCTCTCTCTATATATATATATATACACACACATATATATATATATATATATATATATATATATATATATATTTTTTTTTTTTTTTTAAATATAGAATCATTCAGGGGTCCAACAAATCGTGTGTCGAACTGGCCAAAAGACAGAGTGTACATGGAGCGGATTATATACAAAACACGTTCACTACATTGTCATTGTTGCTAGGTGCCGTACTGCGCCATCTGCACAACTCTGAAACCACTGTTGCTACCATTGCATCAACCCAGCACATTGAGGGGCTTTGTCTTTTTCAGTGACCCGCCACTTCTAAGGTACATTTTGGCTGTATGTCTTCCAATTCAGATTTATTTGTTCTTCTGGCAATCCGTGATACTTTTCAATAGTCTTCACCAACACCATAATTCAAATGCTTCAGATTGTTCCTAAGGTCTTCCTTATTCATTGTCCAACTTTCATATGCAGATGAGGCCATTGAAAATATCTTGGCTTGAGTCAGGTACACATTTTAGCTCTTTAACACTGTGGAGAGTTCTTTTGCCTAATGCAGTAAGTGGTTTTAATTTCTTGACTGCTGCTTCCATGTGTGTTGATTGTGAATCCAAGCAAAATAAAATCCTTGACAACTTCATTCTTTTCTCCAATAATCATGTTATTTACTGCTCCTCTTGTGAGGCTTTTCATTTTCTTTACATTGAGATTCAGTCCAATATATTTCAAGTCTGAAGGTTGTTAATAACCCTTCTTACAATCATGATACCAGGTAATCCATATAATCCAGTTTCTCAGATTATTTCCTTAACAGAGACTGAATGTTATTGTTGTTGGTAAATGCCCTGGAGTCATCCACCCTGTATAGCGTTTCCAAGGAGAGGCTGGTGAGTTTGAACCACGTACCTTGCGGTTCAAACCGATTTGCTGTCCTGTGTTTATCCTACAGCGCTACACCAGGACTCCACAGATTGGGTAAGTATGATGAAAAGATACAGCCCTAATCGTACCTTTCCTGATTTTAAACCATTCAGTACTCCCTTGTATTTCAACTACGACTGGTTCTTGATCTGTGTACAGGTTGCTCGTGGGCACAATTAAGTGTTCTGGAATTCCCATTCTTCACAATGGTACCCATAGTTTGTAATGATCCATACAGGCGAATGCCTTTGCACTTTCACTATAACATTCAGAAAGAAAGAAAAAATGAGTCAGTGAAGTAGGAAATTTATGCTTGAAATACTGCCTGTTTTAAATTAGCTAGACACACACACACCCGCCAAAAAGAAAGAAAGAAAGACGTACGAAAGTAATACTCCGCTCCTCTCCTTTGATGAGGATCGATGCATTTTTGTGTATTATCACTATCCCAATAACAAAAGGGGAAAGAGATCCAAAAAGGAAATGAACATCCGGTTTGTCCGGGGAGGAAAGAGTTAACGGTTTTCGTTCCCCGTTCGCTAGGCTGCCATATCTGCCCGATCGGCAACCTAGCCACCTCCCAATTTCCGGGGAGTCTAGTGCAATCCTGTTCCCCCCCCTCCCATCTCAAAAACACCCTCTCATCTCAAAACCTCCCCTCCCCCCATCCGCTCCTGTCTAGCGCTTTTGATTTCCCAAAGGGAATCCTACCCTGGTGCAAACTGGCGCCACAGAACGCCAAGAAGATTTTTCTCTTCCTGAAACCTGGCTGCGGAATGGAGAACTCTGCGTGGGAGGCGCAAGGGTGGAATAGGGGTGCAGACTGGCAAACAGTAGAGCGGATCCACAAACGCTCTCCTCTCCTAAATCCAGGTCGAAAACACACCTGGATATTTCAGGGATTGGCGCGTCCTGGGGAAGCAGCCTCCTCCCTCGCGGATCCTAATACAAGCCGGTGGGGCAGAGGTAGGGTGGTCTGCAGCTTTGGCAGCAAATTGAAGGATTCTTTCTAGGTGAAAGGTGCCTCGTCGAGATAGTTGTACGCACATAATGCATGATGTATCATATCCCAGCAAATTTATAGGTCTGTAGTTGTAATGCACTCTCCAAATATACGTGGCCATACATTGCCGCGTTATTTTCACAATACCAGTCATTTTCCTCCCCACCTACACATACACACTAAGTAGAGCGCATTTAAACACCCCTTCTTGCCTTCTTTCTTTACTGGACTTAATTTCAAAATGCGCCCTTCCCGGCCTTAGGGAGGCGCCCGCCAGCGCTCCAGCGACGTGCGTGGCGCTGCCGTGGGTACGCCGTGTATTCGGTGTTCCTAGTCTCAGCTGTTCCGCCCGCGATTATTTAAGCACGTAGGACAAGTATGCGGTTTGTCAGACAAAGTGCTGCGCCAGAGGGACAGCACAGAAAGGGAAGGACTGGAGAGGGAGCAAAAGAAAATGGTAGGCGCGCGCAATTGATTCATACAGCGAACCTACTGTTTACGTCCTAGAGCGGGCACACTGGAGTGAAGCTAGAGAGTCTCCTCCCCTAACCCTTCAGAAAGTGAAGGAGGAGGCAAAAAGAGCCTCCCCGCGAATCTCCGCCTCCCGGCTCTTTATAAGGCGAGGGTCGCCGCGGCCGAGGACCCCTAAGCTGCGCTTCTCGCGGCCACCACTGTAACCGCACCCCGGCCTGCTCCTGCCTCCCCCTCCTGGCCCCGAGAAAGGGCAGGGCTTTTCTGAGGCTTGGCGGGAAAAGAGAGCGGAGGGAGGGATCTCTACAGCAGTATAAAAGCGGTGTTTCTGGCTTTATCTGACTGTCGCTGTAGTAATTCCAGCGAGAGGCAGAGGGAGCGAGCGGGCGGGCAGCGAGGGTGCAAGAATCTAGCCACCAGAACCAGCAGAGCCACGCTCCGGCCGCCCGGGGCTGGGAGATCCAGAGTGAAAGGGGGTTTTGCCTTCTCGCCCGCCGCCCCCCACCCGCGGTCCGCACCCCTGTCGCAGCAGCGAAACTTTGCTCCTTGCTGTGGGCTGGTACTTTGCACTGGAATTTACAATACCCGGGCAAGGACGCGGACACCCGGCACGGGGAGGCGAGCCCGCCCGTTTTGGAAGACACTTTCTCCCGCTGCTGCCTACTACCCACTGTCTCTGAAAGGCGCTCCACGCCGCTGTTAGGACGCTGGATTTCCTTCGGAGGGTGGAAAACCCGGTAAGCACCGGAATCGATTTGCCTTTGGATTTATTTCTGCTGCCGCTTTCATGCCGCGATGAGTCGAATGCATGAATTGAGGTGTCTTTTCTGTCATCCCTGCGCGGTGACACTTCTCAAGAGTAGTTGTAGGTGATCGGGGTGGGGTGGGGGGCAAACCCGAACGGGAGAGAGCGGCTTGTCATGGTGGAAGGGGGACACCGGGGAAACCGGGGTGAGTGTTGGAAACTCGCCTTAAACTAGCCTTGAGGTTTTGTTGCCTGTGTGTTCACGCTGGCCCCAACCAGACAAGCATTCATTGCTTTGGGGTTTTTTGTTTTGTTTATTTCGAAGGGGGGGGGATGCTTATGATTCGCGGTAGGCAGAATGCTCTTTGCATCTCGAGTCATTTGGAGTACAGCTTACTTACACACTGGGTGTGTGAGCTAAAGAGTAGCGCAGCCGCTAAGGTCTCCAGTCTCCTAGGAGGGTATTTAAATTCGGCTCAGCATTTCTGACAGCCGACGACCTACACTGCGGCGCGTCCCGCCCGCCGGTCCCCGCGGCGCTTCCAACTAGTCCCTGATCCTTTTAAGAAGTTGGCATTTGACCTTAAAAAAATAATCATCATCAAAATAAATACCTTGTTAATAAAGAGGTGTTAGGAGACTCCACGGCACATAAAAACAAGGACTTCATTTTGAGGAAGAAAGGGAGAGACTAGGGCAGGTATGTGTTTGATTCTCCTGGTATGGTTCATTGACTTTGGAAAAACCGAGGCGAGTCCCCACACCCCGCCGTAGCTCCCCCGCCGCCGTCGGTGGGTGTCCCTGCGCCCCTGAGATGCAGAGTGGCAGCGAGGTGTGGGGCTCCGGGCTTTCCCCGAACAGCTGTTACTCTTGGTGGGGCGGGGGAAGCCTCCCTGCTTGGGGCGCAGAGTCACAGCGGGGGCTCTAGCGCAGTGGCGTCGCCTCATTGTGTGGCGAAGGGAGGTGCCCTGGTTATTTAACACCCACCCCAGCCCCTTTTATTTATGTGGGGAGATGTTAAAACCCACTGCTGAGCTCAACTCTCCGACCAGGGAGAGGCGACAAAAAGCTGGAGCGGGAAGGAAGGGGGCGCGCTGGGGGTGGGGCCGGGTGCGGCGCTGGGCCGGGCGGGAGCGGACCAGACGCAGCCGCCTGCGCCGCGGCGCCTCTCGCCTTCTCCTTCAGGTGGCGCAAAACTTTGCGCCTTCGCATTTGTCAGAC